TACGCTCTCTCTCTCTCATGACATTTCTCCCACTCATCCTGAGGCGAAGGTAGAACAGCTCAAGTCTGAGCCAGGCTTTCTTCAACGGAAGGAGGCCTGATCACATTACAAGCAGTCGTCCGCTCAGAATCAGATGTTGTCACGTTTCCATCTACTCTTGCGGCTTAGTTCATTGTAAAGGAGCTTCACTGAACCGGGTTTCCTGAATGACACGGATGTTTATGTGGGTGGTTAACTCTGTAACATTCTACCAACGGCGAAAAAACCCTCGATGATTTCTTGATTGAATGTTTTCGTCAAGTTTTCTCCCAATGCGAAAGCGTTACTTTGGGCATCAATCTTTAATAATTCCCTCTCGTCAGTAGCGGCTCGTGGTTTATAGAACTGACCGGCCGTCATTCACGTCGACTATTCCTTTCCTTCGCAACACACACACACACACACACACACACACACACACACACACACACACACACATTTTCTCTCTCTCTCTCTCTCTCTCTCTCTCTCTCTCTCTCCTTATTTTATACCCATACTTTCGCTGTCCCCACCCCCTCCCCCTCTCAAACACACACACACACACCACTGTAAACATTGTAATATACTGTGAAAGAGCTAAAATATGCTGTAGTGTCAAGAAACAATATTATGAATAACGTATGATGGAAGTTACTGAGATTAATAGAAACTGACTTGATCGGCACAGAAAAAACAACACTACTAGGCCAGAAAACAAACTGAAAGTGAGAGGCAATAAACTGCAGGTCCTGGCCTTCAGTACTTTACTCGTACTTTCTACACCCCCACATAAAATATCGACGTGCACTGGACCCGTTAAATATATGTAATAAGAACTGTCCTGTATGATGACAAAAAGTTAATTGATACTGTACCAGTGACGCTGTCCCAAGCAGATCAAGTCTACAATCAGATAGTATACAAAGCTGGACAAAGTTAGCACACAACAGTTTCCGATCATTATATCATCCAATTTTTTTCTTCAACGCACTTCTCATTTCTCAGAACAGAACACTGTGTTGTAACAAAGTGGGGAAGTGTGTCAAATGCTAATTATAGAACTTGGTGTCTAGCTGGGGTGACGGTGGAAAAGGGGAGGGAAGGGAGGGGGTAGGCCTGGCCCAGACTCTGACAGCCGAGTGCCTATCGCTCCTCGTTAAAATTTTCCTCATATATCTTCACTAAACAATTCCTCCCTCCGCCGGCCAGACTCCTATGGGCCAGGTAAGTTATTAGAGGGGAGAAAACGTTGAGTAAATGTCAAACAGGAACTATAAGGGGTTAGAAAGTCAATAAACAAAAAAGATTAATGCCATGCTAACAATAAATGTTCTGATAGTAATTAGAGAAAGGCTGAATGATAAATACACGTTTTGCTGATAGAATAAAACATGTGTCTGTGCTGCTCAAGACAGTCTCAATCTTAATTTTGTAAGCTACAAAGAGGCCAATTTGGCAATTTAAGGGATGCCTCTATTCCTTCTCAGGGCTGTCGATGGATTTGTCCATGGGACTGACGTCATCGCTAGGCCAAAGCCCGCCGTGTGTTTGGCCTCGTACCAGAGAGGGTTTACAGTAGTATTACTGTAAACTCTCTGCCTCGTACGTAGTAACCTACGAAGTTCCGCGAAGTGACGGCTTGATGGGAGGGGAGACAATTTAAAGTTACGAGCCGGCGCGATAACAAACGTGAAGGAATGAGGCTTTGTCGCGACAAATAAACAGCAGTGAATCCCACTTCTCTATTTGAGCGCCTTCAAATCGGCAAGGTGCTTTTTGAATGTTGATACATGTTTGTTTGGATTTACTAAAAAATGAATGAAAATCATCATCAGCAATAAATCTCCTGTCAACAGTCCAGCTGAATAAAATCTGACCGGCACCGCCGCCTTGCCCAGTTGACAAACCGCCCCTGCCCCTCGTCCTTCTTCTCCCCCTCCCCCTTCTCCTCGTCCTCATCCTTGTATTCGTCCTTCGCCTCTTCGTCCTCGTTTTTGTCGTCGTCGTCGTCCTCCTCCTCCTCTTCCTCCTCCTCCTCCTCCTCCTCCTCCTCCTCCTCCTCCTCCTCCTCCTCCTCCTCCTCCTCCTCCTCCTCCTCCCCCTCCTCCTCCTCCTTCTTCTTCTTCTTCTTCTTCTTCTTCTTCTTCTTCTTCTTCTTCTTCTTCTTCTTCTTCTTCTTCTTTTTCTCTGGTGCAGCGGTTAAGCTCTTCTTTGTCGCAAACAAAAAACCCGAGTTTTGATTCCCGGGTGGGGAGAAAAGTTTTATCGAGTTTCTTTGTTTTCCTGCTGGTATGGGAAGTTGTATCCTTCTCAGCCCGGGTTGGCCTTGACAGGCAGGGTCGGAGGCTTACATGGAGGGGGTATAATCATGGTGTAGGTATATGATGGGACATTGGGATTTAGTAAGCTGTTGGAAGATAAGTTAGATATTTAAAGTTGCCGGTAAGAATGTTTTTTTAAAAGGAGTTTGCCGTTAAGAGTTGAACGTTGAAAGTAAGATGATGTGGGGATGGCGGTTAGATATTGGAAGGTGGAAGGGTAGATGTTGGAGAATGGAGGATTAGATGTTGGAGAATGGCGGTTACATATTGTTTTAAGTTGGAGAATTAGAAGTTAGAGAATGGCGGTTAGATGTAGGAGGATGGAAGGGTATATGTTGGAGGATGGTGGTTAGATGTTTAAAGTTGGAGAATAGATGTTGTAAGTTGGACAGTTAGATGTTGGAAGAAGGAGGTTAGATATTGTTGGTAAGCTGACGCAAAAATCAAAATAATATCGAAAATAGCAAACCGAAAGAGGTTCAATAAACACAGACAAGGACAAGGCAACAAAACCATGTTTAGATCAAGGGTGTTTGGCATTTGTGCAAAACGACTACAGCGTTAGTTGAATTTTCACTTTTCAGCCTTAGTAGAACTTGCAGCTGGTCAGCTAAGAATACTTCACCGACAAGTCAAATTATGAGCCTGAAGCAAGGTGCGTTTACGTTCTTGCTACTTGGGTGGCTATTTTTGTACAGAATGACTGACGCCGTGGAAAGAAAAGAGACTCGGCCATTACTCTGGTCGTTTAATGACTCCGATGGAACGCTGCCGGCAGCGGGCTGTCATCTGAGAGATTGATAGGAGGAGAAAAAAAACCCAACCACATCAGAGTCCTGTCCGTGTCATAGGCAGCCATTATTGGATTCAGCTTTGAGAAGAAAATGATGTGTGCGCACCCGCGAGGAAAACGCTGCGAAATGCGAAATGGCAAAACTGTCGTTTTATGACAAGGAGAACCCGTATGTTATGCGTAATTAAGTCAAGTAACGTTTTTATACAGGGAAGAAACCCATTTTCATAGCACGTCTTTCTATCTTGTTTTTATTCCGATTCAATTATAATTAAGGAAGGCTTGGGTTTTTTTAAATGTTACATACCGATATTTTTTAAAATAACAGAAGAGATTTTCACTAATTACTCGATACCTATTTACCACTGTATACCTGAGAAAATCAGACAAAAGTTACACCGGCCAATGAATATCTACATAAAATAATCAAATCGACCAAATTATAGATAAGTTGAAACACATACAAAAAAATTGTTTCTGTGCTCTTTTGTAAACTTTCAATTTTGGAATACACGTTTTTTTGTCATAAGACAGTAGAAAACGAGAGTTCAGAAGCTATGGTTCCCTCCCAGCCGAGCCAGTTATAATTGCTCATATGTCATTATGTTTCAGTCCCTTTCCTGATGGGGGAAAGGCCTCCTTGAGAATGGCAGGCTATAAAACTTTAACCTTAACGCTAACCCAATTATAACCTCTATTATGTTATGTTTCAGTACTTTCCCTGAGTGGAAAGGTCCCCCGGAGAATGTAATTGTCTTGAGTTTCTCTTAAAGTGAATTTTGTAAACATCCGAGATGGACAAGCTTTCAACGAGGTTTGTGTCCCACCAGTCAGTTTTTCTTTCTCGGGCAACATGACGGGCTAGTAACGAAAACCTGAAACTGCTTTCCAGCTGTGACAGGACAAAATAACTGGGGTTTTTTTTAGAGGGGGGGGGGGGGGGGGGTTGTTTTGTTTCTTTCTTGTTTTTTGTTTTGTTTTGTTTCTTTTCTGTTATTTCATTTTTTTCTTTGTTTTTAAATTAGGAGGTCAGTAATTTATTCCAATGTCTTTGGCTTTTTATGAAAACATTTCTTTTAAATGGATGAGTGACAAGTTACCCAACCCTAATCGTTAAGTTTCTCCCAGACTGCACTCGTGCGCTTGGGACACTAAGCGGCCGATAGAGCCGCGTTTCTTGTTTTAGTATGTGTTTTACGGCACTTGCAACACACGTAAGTGTCGAAGATTAGAGGTGTGACAAGAGAGTAACAAACACGTAATAGAAGGAGGGGGAGACAAAGATGATAGATGTTTGATAGGAGAGAAGGAGCAAACATCAAAACACCCGCCAACCACCCACAGAGCCGATTCTGAGGAAGTCACAACACGACAACAGCTTTACATTTATGTGAGATGTGATGATATATTCTCTCGTTCCCTTTGTTGCTCATGCGTCCTCATGCAGTTCGCTTTCGGGCCCTTTCAGGGGATGTTTTTCTTGATCCCACTGTGAAGCAAACACAAAGAAAACGTCTCAGTTACAAGATCAGTGTCAAAGTGTTCCCCCTTCCAAACCCAACTCCGCGCCAGATTCCCGATGTCTCCGCTGGCATGAAAATCTCTCCGAGTGACTCAAAATGGCGAGATGTGTTTGTTGACAAATCCTCGTGCACCCCCTATTGTCCGAGCGTTTTGTTGACAGACGAGTGGTGGCCCTCGGTGTCCGCGCGGAAAAATGCTGTTGTCACGCAGATTACCCTGGACTGACGCTGGGGCCAGAAGCCGTTTTCTTCTGTTGTCGAAGGGCGAGGCTTTCTGGAGCAGATTCAGGGGTGGGGATGGGAGGGGTGGAGGGGATCTTTAAGGTGGTATAAAACCAAGCCAAAGAGAGAGAAAACGGTTTTTGGAGTCTCAAATGTTCGCTCGTTCTATTGAATTCTAATTTTCGTTGAAAGCTTTCTCTGTTCGTCGAGGTTCACAGCATTTCTTTGTCTTTTGAGAGCTGGAGGAGAAGAAAAGGGAGACTGGATGAGAAGAGAAAATTGTTCAATGTTTGAAAGTATCGTCATTGAGGCCACTGCGAGACAGAGGGCGCTCGTAAAAGCCTAAACGTGTTGAAGCTTCAGGAATTAACAAGTAATTAAACTCATACGTATCTGACGGAACAGCCAAGATGTTCAAACTGTGTTACTGGGGCGTCACCATAGCAACATTGGTGATTTGCGAAGCCACAGTGACGTCTGCACAGATTGGAAATCAAAGAGATGCGGGTGATACTCTGGGCGCTGAGAGAGACAGCACAGGGAGTGGTAATAACGTTGGTGTCGCTGACCAAGAGGGGGGCGGTGACAACAGCAGCAAAACAGGCAATCAGAACAACCCGTGGGTCGCGGGGAACACCAACTGTTCCTGCATGCGGGAACTCAACGCTCTGAAACGGGACCTGAGAGAGGAGGTAAGTAAGACGCGGCCCACGCCCCATGCTCCTCCCACACTAAGGTGGACACGTCTGTACTGTATTGCCTGGGTTGTTAACGCTGTTGATGATAAACTTGGTTTTGTTTCTGCTGCTGCTGCTGCTGCTGTTGTTGTTGTTGTTACTATTATTATTATTATTA